AAAAAAAGAACAAAACTAGTCAAACGGTCTACAATGCAAAAGGTTATAAAAGTTTGAAGGATTGATTAAAGGACACTCGCGTCGAATTAAACTCAACGGGTGGGAGGTTCTCAGGTTCTCTCAGATTTCCGCCGCGAAAGCTCGCCCATGGTCCTTTTCGCGCGCCTCGTTATTGTTCATTATGTTGTTAGATGCGGTGGATTGCATTCGAGGGGTGTACAAAATCTAAGTTTTAAGAGGAAATTTAGGGATGAGAAAGAAAGCAAAGAATAAAGATAAAGGCATTAATTTTACTGTATATGTCTGGTCGCTCGTAATATTTCTATAAATCTATCGAACATTTTTTATTCAAGGATGCAGCTACTTGAACATCAGAAGATCTATTATTTGTTAGAAATCAACAAGCCAATGCACAGGAATGAAGAACTGGCACATAAGCAGAAAGTTACAGTCTACAAGATAGCCGAAGTCAAACGAATATTGGTGTACTGTAGTGGCTTACTGGTACCCCCAACATTTCGAGGCGGGTCTTTTGATTTCGAAAATCGAGAGGCCTCTTTTTCGTTTTTGGCATGGAATTTGTCTCTATTTTCAAGCTTTTAAATTAAATTTATGAAAAATAAATCAGGGGGTTTGCTCACATCCATCGCATTTTCCTGTTTTTTAAGCCCTTCCCTTAGCCAGTGTTCTTACTTTTCTTTTCTCTTGTGATTTCTCAACAGTAATGGTGAGTTTAAGGTAATGATAGGAGAACTTACTCCTCCAAGTGTCGCCTACAATGAGGCGGCTTCATCACCAATGAATAATCAGAGCAGAAGGTAATCTTTTCTTTTTTTGTGGCGTACTTTATAGGTTTTTTTTGTCTGTAGAGGTAAAATTCTCTTGTCATTGCTGTTCTTCAGGTCCACATTCGATGACGATGCATTTTTTTCGGCACCCAGATCAAAATCTGAAGCTCGCACTCGTCCAATGTTAAGCCCTCAACAAGTCAAACTTCCCACTGTCCATGATAAGATTTTGGATTGGTTCTATGGCTTGGCAAGCATTCATAGTTTTCAATACCTAATGCCATACATTCTATGTCTACTTTCAGATTTTCATCCGCCAAATGAGGGTGTCGATTTTTGTTGGGCTTATCTGTGCTTTTACGTTTGTTCTTTCATTGGTTGCCCTTCAGTTCTCAGTGCCATCAATTTTTCGATTTTTTGGTGGTAAGCCCGTCTTTTTTTGTAGTCTGTATCCTTGAAACTTAATTCTTTCAGATGCCATTTCCACAGTTTTTGCTGTCTCAACTTGGGTGTCTGCAATAATAGTTGGTCTTCTTTCATTTGGGATGAGTTGGGCTTTACTCAATTTGCTTGTGAAAGGTGGGTCGACACTGCCATTTAATGTATGTTCATTTGTTCATTCGGGCCTTTCTAGCTGAACAACCACATAGACTTCCATGGAAAAATACCGATACATGGCTTG